TCTCCGCCCCGTCCTCCCCCTTCTCCTCCTCACTGTGAACCCATCCAGGCCTCCCTTCCCCCTCTCCTTACTCCCCTACTTCCTTTCCCTCCTCCATCCTCCTCCACCCTCTCACCTCCTCCAGGAACTTCACACCACTGGGTCTCAGCATTCTTCCCCGCCACTTGCCCCTTCCAACTCTCCCACCTCAGAGGAGTCCAGTCTGGAAGGGAGAGAGGAAGAGAGCAGAGGAGGACGGAGGAGAGGAAGAAGAGGAGGCAGGAGAGGTGGAGGAGGTAGAGGAGCGCATCAGGGGGGAGGGGAAAGTGCCTCCGGAAACATCCAGAGAATGTGGGAGGTGTTGGGGGGCGTGGCCTCCCTCAGCCCCACCACCTTCAACATGAAGGAATGAGGAAGAGGAGGAGAGTGAATGAAGATTGAAGAGCAGGGATGGAGGAGGGTGCGAGGGAGTTTATTATCCCAACTACAGACCCTGGCAGGTCAGTCTGAAAAATCCAGTGCAAGCAAACACCAGACTCCAATTCCAGAAAACCAGTGATTTTAGCTCCGCAGATCATCATAAAATTGCAAAGTGGGACAAAAACAGAATAAAACCTTCTGAAAACCCTTTAACTGAAACTGGAACATGGACACGACTCCACTATCCACCGAATCATCAGAACATTTGGATCGAACAAATCACACACCGATCAGCAGTAACACTGTGAGTACTGGACTCCCTGACTGGTCCCAGACCAACAGACTCTGATCCACTGTGTGTTCTGACACCCCACCACTGCTCTGTCAGTGCTCACTGTGTTAGGGATCAATGTGTGTTTATAATCTCATATACAGAACCTTCAATGAATCTGTGTTAAAGCAGCTGAATGTATAAATAATGATAATACAATAAATAAATATGGAATATGTAGGATATAATATATGTAATATATAATCTATAATAAACAGTGGCTCTATTGTTTCTTCAGTTCTTCGTCGCTCTCTCTCTGAGGGTTCTCTACTGCAGGAACCTCGATCGCCCCGCTTTCTGTCCGACAGCACCATCCATCAACTCACCCGGCCCGCGACTTTTGACCTCGATCCTGACCCTCGGCCCCCATCCATTCACACCCTGAGGAAACAGCTGACCAGAGAGGGGGGGTCTCTGTCCCACATGCTGCTGCTGCTCAACGGCACCAAGGTAGAGACCAGAATAGACCTGGAGAGACCAGTAAAGAGCAGTAGAGTCTAAAAGAGTCCAGAAGAGGCCAGCAGAGAGACCAGCAGAGAGCAGGGCTGTGGTCATTATCAAAATAATAAATAAACATTTGTTATTGACCTCTGTATAAAACATCATGAGCTCAAATATGAACAAAAATATGATTCCATAAAAAACCCAGACTGCATTATTAAAACAACTTTATTTGTAACAAAAACAATGACAAACTCAAGGCTGTAGGAATGAAACAAACAGGGTTATCATGTCATAACATAAAAGGAATACAGCACCAGTATAGACCATTAGAGACCAGTTGTCTAATTGTTGTTGTTGTTGTGTTGGTTCAGGATGTTGAGCTCAGAAACATACGACTGAAGAAGAAGACAAAGAGTCTGTAAGTACATACACACATATACACACAGATGCATGAGCATGTGCAGTGCGTCACACAGGTGTTAGTCAAAATAAATGATTAATATTAACAATAAAATAACAATAAAAGATGAATTCAGTTCAGTTCTGGTTTAATGTTGGACTGAACCAACAGGGGTTCATTTTAAACCTGATTGCATTAATATGAGCTTAGCTGTTCCTGAAGGTGAATTTCTGATTCCTGTTGTTCAGCCAGTCACAGGTTGTTGTTGTTTTTGTTGTTGTTGTTTACTTCCTGTCTGTCTGACTTCTCAGAGCCACTGACGTTTGGAGCCGCCTGCCGTTTTTATGGCGGCAGAAAAACAGTTCTTGTGTCCATGGCAACAGTTTGGAGAAAGCTCTGAGAAACAACAGGTAGGAGCCCTAAACTACTACTGGTCCCAACAACTGGTACCAACTGGGTTCCTACTGGTTTCATTTGGTTACCAACAGTTTCTTCTGGTGTCACATGGGTCCAGTTTGTTCTTACTGGTTCCGTTTGGTTCCTGCTCGTTCCAGTGTGTCTCATGTGTCTGTTTTGTTTTTCAGACCATCTGCGCGAGAGGTGCTCAGGTGGGCGGAGAGTCTGGAGGCTCTGCTGACAAACCAGTGTAAGACACTTCCTGTTTGTCTCTGTGTCCAACCCACAGTCTGTCTCTATTGGTTAACAGTCTCCCACTTCTCTTCTAATTGGTCAGATGGTCTGGCAGTGTTCCGTCACTTCCTGAGGTCAGAGTTCAGCGAGGAGAACCTGGACTTCTGGTTGGCTGTGGAAAGATTCAAGAGGACACGCCCCCTCAGCAAGATGGCTGCCAGAGCCGGCAAAATCTACGACGAGTTCATTTCTACCAATGCAGCAAGACAGGTGTCCGTCTGTCTGTCCGTCTGTCTGTCCTCTGATTTGTCCAGTGATTGGTCATGTGAAACCACTGCTTTCTGTCTCCAGGTCAACGTGGACTCGTCTGTCAGAGAATCGACCAATCAGAGCTTGCGTATTGGCGTTAACCCCGCCTCCTTCCAGCTGGCCCAGGAGCAGATCTTCGGCCTGATGGAGACTGACAGTTATCCACGATTCCTTAGGTCCCGCCTCTACGCTCAGCTGGCCAATCAGGGCACTCAGACAGCCTCAGAGTCAGCCAATTAGAGCGAAGCTGGGTCTGTAGCTGTCAGCTAATCATGACTGAACACAGACTGATGGCCAGCCAATCAGAATCTCCAAGATCAGAGCCTCTGATTGGCTGCTCACCAACTCTATTCAGAGAAGAGCCAATGAAAAGAAGAAGTTGTTCAAAACCATACATACATACATACAAAAGATATATAAAAACACTTATAAAAGACAGACGTCTCCACTTCCTCCCACTGGAAATCCCATTTTATATCTTCCAATAACTAATTAAAACTTACTGATAATAAAAATAAACACTTGAACAAACAGTGTGATAGTAACAACCTAAAATGACAGAAACCACTTTTGGGAAGCCACCAGGGGGAGATAAAGAGGTTTATCTTTATATATGTGTATGGTCCAGACTGAAATATCTCAATACCTACATGGTGGAAAACTTGTTTAAGTCCAATTCTGCCTCAGCTGGATTGTGTGTTTACTGCTAATGAGCTAATGTTAGCATGCTAACACACTGATATTATACCTGCTAACATGTTGATGTTACAGCCTCACAGAGCTGCTAGTTTACTGTAGACTTTATCTGATCATGAAGAACATCAGAATCAGTAAACTTGTTTTTCATTCACATTTTATGACAGTTTGTTTATTGTTTTTAGGCAAGACTATAAGTGAAGTTATTAACTGTGTTTCATTAGAGTAAACAGACCATTATTAAAGATGACTGCTGGATGAAGAGAAACAGTTTTAAAATAAATGATGATGCTGTTGGACTCATTGTTACTTCTTCTGTAGTTTTATTTGTTTTACAGCGGGTCTTTTTTCAATAATATCCCAGTTTGAATTGGTAACCAAATAAAATAATTTGCAACTGACCAGTGCAAAACAGTTTTTGGTTAAAGAAAAAGTCCATGTACAGAGGAACATTACAGTGCTGCCCCATCACTGTCTGATTTATTAAATAACCTGTAACTGTGAGAGAACAAAGCTTTGGGTGGGTTGCAGCTTTATGTTCTTCCTGATGCTGACAGTATTTGGTTCTGTTTTCTCAGTGTTTTCAGCTGTTAATCCATTTCCTTGATTCCATCTGTCATTTTATATATAGAAAAATATAATATATAATATAACATAATATAATATATATAATAATATTTTATGTAATATATAAAATAATACAATATTTAGAATATTTTATATATAATATATAAAATAATAGAATGGAATAATAGAATACTGAAACTTGCTTCCTGAATGTGATGGCGTTTGTTTACTGAAGCTGGCGTTAGTGATTGCTTTGAAAATATAAAAATGTAATATTAAAAATTGTTCAATCTTTTTATTGAACTTATTACATTATAATTATTGTAGGAATTATGCATGACGCATGCCCCTGCAGTACTCCAATGTACCACTAGGGGTACATGTTATCCCATTTGAGAACCAGTGCTGTGGGGAATCCGTTCTGTATTTAACCCAAAGTGTTAAAAGCATTGGGACCAGATCTAAACCACAACCTTGGTCAATGTCACATGTTTGTGACGGTAGGGGAACCGGAGAACCCAGAGGAACCTACACAACCACCAGGAGAACATTCAACCCCAGAAACTTCTGATGGTGAGAGAGATTGTTTTTAATTCCTTCATGTGAGATATTAATTATTGAATTATTGATTAAAGAATGTATAATCTGAGATTGAAAGTTCACTCCAAACATTTATAATGAGGTAACAACAGCATTTATGCTGTCTGACACTGTAGAGCTGCACCAAGTGGTAATAAAATCATACTGTCAATATTCTGACAGATATTACTATATGATTCAAGATTAGTGAGGATGATCAGTTTTGCATTACAATTTTCATTTTCACTGAAAATACGACAAAATGAGGATTTCTTAGTTGGTCTGTAACAAACATTGTCAGTATTCACTATAATGCTGTCTGTCATATTTTACCTTCATATCAAACAAACTGAAACTTCTGTGATTTACATATCACACTCATATTGTGATTTCAATAATATTAAAAGAGTGAAAGAAAAAAACTGTTGGTCAACTCCTCGACAAACAACAAACACATCACTATTAGTGAGGAGGAACTGGGAGGAGGAACACTCAGCTGTTTGGTAGATAAACTTTTCACGTTTATCCTGAACTGTCTGAACAAAGTGAACAACCTCATAAAGAGATGAACTGAAGATGTTTTATTAAAGTCAGACAGAGTGGAAACCTAAAGAACGTCAGTCCATTAGAACAACAACCTATCTTCTACCCGGCCAGGATGTGTTTGACAAACTCGGTGTAGTTGATGTGTCCGTTCGCATCCTCCTGTCCCACCATCAGCCGGTCCACCTCGTTCTCTGTCATCTTCTCTCCCAGTGTGGAGAGGACGTGGCGGAGCTCTGCCCCCATCACCGTGCCGTTGCCTTCCTTGTCGAATACCCTCAGACCCTCCACGAAGTCCTCAAAGGTGCCCTGCTCCTTGGACTTGGCCACGTGTTGCAGCATCGGCAGGAAGGTGTCAAAGTCCAGCAGGTTGACGTGCATCTCCTCCGCCTTCGGCCTCCCCAGGAGCTTCAGCACCTCCTCGTTGGTGGGGTTGTGGCCCAACGCTCTCATCACGTCTCCACACTGAGCGTAGGTGATCTTCATCTCGCCTGCAGGTGTCTCATCGAACAGTGTGAAGGCGTCTCTGAACTCCTCGATCTGATCGGGGGTGAACTCCACCACGATGCTCTTCAGGTCCACCTCGGGAAGTTTGGGCTCTGGCTCCACGGGTTTGGGAGGTGGAGCCGGTTCCTCCTTCTTTGCCTCCACCTTCTTCACCTCTGTCTTCTTTGGTTCCACTTTCTTCGGAGCCATGCTGCACAGAAGACGGACAGGGATGGAGGATTCAGCAGCTTTATAGCAGGAAGAGGTGGGTAAGCGAGGCAGGAGAGAATGATGGAATGGAGAGAGAGACAGAGAGCAGCTGACCAAAGAAGGAATGAAACTGGAATAGAAACACTCAAAGAGATGATAAGAGACAGAAGATAAAACGCTTCCAGTAGAATCTGAACCAGTTTGGACAAGATCCTCTCAGGAACTCTGACCTGCAGGAACCAACAGGAACCAGTATAATACCAGTATAATAAAGTTTTATTCAAACTTTAGGAGTCATCGGACAGCGGCTGTTACCATGACAACAATCTATCAATCACACTATACAACAGTCAAATACTGATTCACATGTTGAAGGAAGGGTCATAGTAACAAATTACAACTACTCACATTACTGTAAGTAAATAATAATTAAGTCATGTTTTTGGGTACCTTTTAAACCTGTAATTTTATTTTTCATTCTTGTACAGCAGTCTGCAACCTGTGGCTCTTTAGCTCCTATCAGTGAAATGATCAACAGTGAATTGTTAACATTTATCATTGCTGTTGTTCTAAAGTGAGTCTAACATTCTCCAGTTGTAAAAATTGTGTATCCATTAAACACAGGTTTCAACATTTCATCAACTAAACTGTGTGTCATACATTACGAACTCTGACCAGGTTTTTAGCTCTGGACTCTGGATTAGTTTGCTGGTTTACACATATGATGGCTCCAGACATTTATTTCTCTTTTCTTTGGCCAAAAATGTGTCTTAGGATATTAAAGGCTGCAGAACCCTGCTGTTTTTATTCCTTCTAACTGTGGTCTTTGACTTTCTCTCTGACTGTCTGTCTGTCTCTTCAGTCTATTTCAGTCTCTTGTCCCCAGAGGTGTTGTCAGATATGTTTTCATTAACATTCCCTGCTGTGATAAGGACAGTGATTACCCATGATGCTCTGTGTCCTTCAGTCTTTAAATAACAGCGCTGATAGTGTCCTACAGAGGGTCTGAAGATAAAAACCAGAAAATCAAACTCACTTTTTACTGTTTTGATTTTAGAAAGACTGTGACTCTACTAATACCTGAAGGTGATTTTTAACTTTGACTATTAACCCTCGAGGCACCTTGGGGGACCAAACGTGTACATTCTGCTTATCTGATTTCAATGTATCTGTCAGTTCAAAGGCTAATTGTATGAAACTTTGTCAGGATTTGTTTATTACACTACTATTCAGTGCTAGCTTTCTCCGTCCTCTTCTCTTCTCTCTCTCTCTCTCTCTCTCTGTCTGTCTCTCTCTCTGCTTCTCTTCGTCTAGACCTGCTCTATTTGAAAAGTGTCCTGAGATAACTTCTGTTTTGAATTGGCGCTATACAAATAAAATTGAATTGAATTGAATTGAATTATTGCAAGGTGTATAGAATAGGAGATTTGCATATATACCTACACCCTTTAACCCCAGGCCCAATTTGGTCCTATCGACCCCCATTATAACCACATATTTTTGATACTGTAATCCTGACATATTATAATTCTTTTCCCATGAAAATTAATTAAAATGCTACCTTCAAAATACAGGGAAAGGTTTTTAGGTGATCCCCCCCCCCCCCAAAACGACCAGGGGCAGGTATTTAGTTGTGGAAATATTGAATGTTTTAGAGAAATTCTTTATAGAATAGATTTATAGATAAAACAAAGTCACAAACCAACTTTGGCTGAGGAGAAATCACTTTATGTTTCAATAACAAATCCTTCTGAAAGATCAGCGGCACAATAATCACACAGACAGTGAGGACACGTGAGAACAATCAACAACTTCCTTATTCAGGGAATACAGTCACAATATTACACTTACATGAAATGATCTGAAGTTTTATATATTTTTAATATTTTAGGATAGAACTCAACTGAATCATGATAATAATGATAATGTGCCCATATTGATTACTACATATAACGTGATCACATACTTTATAATAATAATGTTGACTCACTTATAATGGGGTGGATTATGTTGTGTCATTGGTGACGGTTACCAGGGTGAGTTATTGAATATGTGCGAGTTTAGACTGAATACCATTATATTACATTTATCAAGCTGAGGCTTTAATCCAAAGCGACACTAAATGCCTTCAACCAAAAAAACCAACAACTAGAATACCCATGAAAGAACATAAAGTTAATCAAAATCGACTTTTAACAGAAAATGAACATTTAAAATTTAAATATACTCATACTGACTGTAGCACTCTAACAGTAACATACACCCAAAAGTCAGAACACACACTTGGCATACATCATGTTTTACAGGTAATAAACAGGTAATAACGTGATAAATGGTGATGAACAGGTAGTAAACAGTAATAAACGGGAAGTAAACAGGTAGTAAACAAGTAACAAACAGGTAATAAACAGGTTAAAAAAACAGGTTAAAAAACAGGTAGGTAATAAGGAGTTAATAAACTGGTAATAAATGAATGATAAAAGGGTAATAAACAGGTAGTGAACAATAATAAATAAACAGTTAATAATTAGGTGTTATACAGGTAAACAGAGGGAACACAGACTTGATTATTAATTATTATTATTAACAGAGTCTAGGTTCATACTGAGTTATTGTTGACATCTGATCACACTGCTACATTCTGGAATATCAGCAAAATCTGGACACACATTAAGAGATCAATCAGTATTCATGTTGTCTCAATCTGTATATGATCAGTGATCAATACAGACAGCCGAAGATATAATGACACTTTAAAGATCAATACCTGATAAATCCTTGGGAAGCAGTTTCTCTCTGATGGCTGAACTCAAATCAGCAAATACCACCTCCTCATCTCTGTCTGCATCCACCTACACACAAACACACACAGAAATGTTAGTTTGTTGTTCAGTTGTAGCTGTGTAAGCAGTAGAGTTGCCCCCAACTAAAGTTCTTCTTTGTCAACTAGCAGTTGTTAGATAAAGCCAATAATCAACTCTCATTCGGGCCCCACTCCCTGGCAGAATTGCCCGCTGCATCCCTCTGCTCCTAGTAGTGTTTAAACTCCCCCTGTCCTTCCAGCTCCCGGTCTGGCTACAGACAGCTCATTCATAGTTTTTAAGCCATCACCTCTCAAAAGAAGAAAAATAAACATATGGTTAAGTAACATAAGTTTTGGGTTCTTGTGATCCACATACAGACCCGCCACAGGATTTAAGTAATTGAGAACAGTGAAGTTCCTGCCAGAGCTCCAGTGTGACATCGTTAACATTTCTCTTGTGGAGAATCTCTCCTCTCACACTGCCCGCCAATATGAAAGCATACAAAAGTACAGACTGATCTTAAAGATCAGTGTCCATGACAATCAAGGCATTTTTTTAACTGATCCATATCAGCTATATTGAGCTTTATTTACCTGATCTTTTATTAGCTCTCTGTCGCTGTCTGCCTCTCCACTTTGTGCAGGAGCAGTACTGCCCACTGTCAATCTCCATAATGGAGGAGAGACAGTGGTAGAGATCAGTCACAACCACACTCAACACGCCACTACAAGTACAACAAAAGCCCCACAAAGACAAAGTGAATAAGAGGAACTGATTAATGTAATTCACCAAAAGATGTAGAGAGGACAGAAATAAACCACAGAATACAGACGGTTCAGTCAGGTAATTCTGGTGCTTTGGTGTAGCCAAACACTGAAGAGAGAAACTCCCTTCAGACAGCGACAAGGAAGAAAGATTACAGAGAAAGTTGTATTGAAGCACAACCAAGTCCTCTTCCTCATCTGTTAGTGCATCTGATCACACAACAGTTCAATAGACTCTTCTCAGCGATAAAGTTGAATGGTTAAGTCATTTATTAGGGGGCAGCACTAGTCAGCCGGTGTAGCTGTATCATCAGGTGTACCTGTGTCAGCAGGTGTAGTTGTCTGTAGTATCTGCTGATGGAGACGATGTCTCTCTGAAATGTCTCCAGGCGTCTCTGCAGGGCGTGGCTATTGTCTCCTAGGAGACCAAGCTGAGTGGCTCGTCGCTGCAGACGACAGCGCAGCGTCTCATTGGAGCAGAGTAGCAGCATCACCAGATCAGGAGAACCAATCTGAATGGCGGGCAGAACGGAGTAAATGTGAGGTATTTCCTGTTACTGACGCTGTGTCATACAAATAAAAAGGAGAAGTTGAAATTTGAAGCAACCTACTGTCCAAATAGCTCTCTGATTGGTCCGTACCTGTTCCTGGAAGCTAAGAGCCTGGTGGACGTCTGGAGGGAATCCATCCACGACGAACCCTCTGACCTCCTGCTGAGCAATCAACTGTCTTCTCAGCTCTGAGATCGTCTCCTCCTACAAACAGAGCGTTTGTTTACAGTGTCTAATCACAGGTGATGTGTTCAAGGTCTGGTTAAAGGTCATGATTGGTAGTTCAGGGTTAAAGACTCTGACCTGTGGTCCCAGCTCTCCATGGCCCATCATTTCTGAAATAACCCTCCACTTCCTGCTGGGGGAGGCGTGGCTTAGCAGCTGCCTTCTGAGCAGCTCGTCCAATGAAACGACTCTGAGGTTGAAGCAGCAAGCTAGCCTAGCTGCCTGACTTCCCTTCCCACTTCCTGGACCACCTGTTGGGAATAAAAGAATGACATTAGAACATGGAGTTTGGTTGAATATGGCTGTGCTAACTTAGTTCAAGAGAGAGAACATGTTTTTACCATATATATGTTCCAATAACAACAAATGTGAGGGTGATAAGAATGACCTAAAATGACAGAAACCATCTTCTCACCAGGGGGAGATAGAGAGAGATTCTATACTGCAGTCAGCCACCTTTAGTCACTCCCAAATTGATAATCTTGTTAATAGTGCTGCAGGCTCTCTGCGATCAACATTAGATTCTATCGCTCCTAGAAAACAGAAAATAATAAAACATAGGAAACTAGCACCGTGGTACAACCATCAAACTCGCCAATTAAAGCAAGAAACAAGCGAAATAGAAAGCAAAATGGCGCGCTTCGAAATATTAGAATATCGGCTTATTTTGCAAATAATCTTAAAATTATAGAAAGGGCCTCCGTAATGCCAGAAAGGAAGGCCTATTAATCAGCCAACTTAGAAGAAAATAAGACTACCCTAGTTCCCTCTTCAGCACTGTAGGCGCAGGCTTGACCAGAGAGTCGACAAGCTAGTGAGCCATGTTATCCCCAAATTAAGTAGCAAATGACTTTATGAAATTCTGATAATAAATATGCATATTAGAAGAAAGTCACCAAATACCTTAAATAAGTATTGCAGGCTCTCCAAGATCAAAAGTTTTACCATAATGCCCAAACCTATATATATATTTAGAATGTTTTTCTGCTATCCAGTCTTCATCAGTTAACTTCAATAATTTCTTCATCGAAGCCATCAACCTGTCTGTTAGATCCAATCCCAACTAGGCTGCTTAAAGAAGTTGTACCCTTAATTGGCACTTCTTTTCTAGATATGATAGTCAGGCCCCTTCATATCTTGAAGACTCAAGCACCAGTTTTTCAATTAATAAAAAGCTTGAGAGTAAAGTTCAAACGCTAAAGTGATTGTCTGATTGTCTGTTTTAGACACTTACAAATATTGCAGACGCAGCCCTCAACCCTAAATCTGCCGTCCGAGAAAGGCTCTTGTTTGGTGTTGATCTGATGAGTGCTTTGTTTGAAGCATACTGTGGTCTTAAGTCTCCTTAAATGCTCCTTAAATTAATCTTTGTATCTCTGTATGTTTTTTTGCACACCACAGTATTTGTCTTGTCTTTGATCGCTCTCATTACATGTCCACTTTTGGCATTCACATGCTCCGCACTGCTCCTCCCTCTTCTTATTTATTCTCCATTTCTGCACTGTTCGCCAGCCCTCATTTAGCACGTCCACTCCCAGCCAGACATACCATCTTTGGCATCACACCCTTCTGTCAGGCCGCTTCTCAATGGCATCAGCTCAGCCCACTACCCTTCCAACACCCTCTTTTGTCAGCAGCACAAAGTTGATCTATTTACCCACCATCCCACTGATCTTTTTCACAAACAACTCAAGCTAAAGGAAAGAGGGGATGTGGAGATGTCAGCCAGCCAGTCAAACAGCCGTCCAGCCAGCTCCTTTCCTTCAGTCGGCTGTAAAGCCCATCTGCTGGAGGCAGCATTAGATGCAATATCCAATTCAATCCCTTCCCTCAACCTTCCAGAAAGCTTTTAGCCACATTTTAGCACACAAAAGCTGCTGCTCTGGCCTTTGTAGCCTGAGCTTCTATTTAAGAAGGTGAGGGTGAGGATGCAGGGAGAAGAAATCAATAAAGTTTCCTGGCTCTCAATCTTCTTGGCCTGCAGTAGAGGTGTTTTTAGGTTAGGAGGGGGAGGAAGGGGAGTGGAAGGAGGTGGGCTGTTTTTGTCATTCATAAGCTTTGCTGACAAATCCTTGACATCATTTGGCGGATTGTATCGATAACTTCTTCCCCGGACTGCAGAGGACAAATCGAAATCATTTGTCTGGCTTTGTTGGGTTGGTGGTGGTGCGGGGGTTGGGGTGGTGGGGTTGCCATGGGCAGTGGAGGGAGGACGACATCCGGGACAAAGCCAGTGCTGCCAGCCTTGGCCGTGACATTGGCAGCTGAAGGCATTTGTACTGCAGAGAAGTTCAAAGGTCATCGCGGTGACAAGCAGGTTGTGC